GTACCGGAAAAAAAACAAAAAAACAAAAAAACAAAAAACCAAGCAGACACTTCCAGGTTTCTTTGATACAGAAATACCCTAAGCCTTTTTCCAGAGCATGATTTAGAGACCCAACACAGGGCAATGGTTTCCAAGTTTCCTTTCCTACAATTTTTACCTATTTCTCGGATAATGACAGGATCATTCACCATGGCTCAGAACAGGACTCCTTGCACATGCAGAGGTGTCAAAGAACACCTAAGGGAACCCAACACGAGTGAGCATAAAATGTGTCAACTACCAGTGTAGAGATTCATCAGATTTCAAATGCAAAAATACTTAGCTACAATGTTGCAAGCCAGCAGCCACAGAATGAAAACTTCCCACAGTGACAGGAAGGCTGAGGTTCTCAGCACCCAGACTTCTCTGACAACACACTTCTGCCCAGCTTGTACTGGACAGTCATAAAACACTGCACTGGAGACTAAAAACAGCACACAATAAAAGTAAATACAAAAAACTATCCTTTCCTCCCCTGAGCTAATGTTGTGTCTCTCCCCAGAAGATACAAACATACAGATATCCCTAAATTCTTTCACCGCCTGTGTCAGCAGCCGTCTGGAACAATACTTCCCCATATCCCCAGGTCCAGTTTTTGTCACATACACCCTGATTCTCCACTCTAAGGAAGACTCCCCAACTTTACACCAGCCCTGTTATCAGAACGGGAGACCAGACCCCACTTGCAAAGCAGAGCCACAGCCCAGGTCCCCCTTCCCATCTGACCACGGCTTCTGTGCACTGTCACACACACAGTCAGTGGAAAGTACCTGGAATGCCAGTCACTAGGAAAGGCAGCAGTAGTAGTTCCAGAGCCGAACACCATTCCCATTTTCTGGAGCACATGGTACTTTCCAGAGCTTCCCAGGAACACTAGAGACAGCCAGCAGCTCCGCTAGAAAGCGACCAAAGGCGAAAGGAGAACTCATGAATAAGGTTAGAGGAAAATACCTAATGAACTTTACTTTAAATCTAGCACCCTTGCGGGGGTTGGGGGAAGAGACCAAAAACAGGAAGTCTTACAGTTTTTTTCATCTGAGAGCACCATGGTAACAGAACAGTTGTTTTTTTTCTTTACTATGTATTAGCACTTTTTGCGGGGAGAAGATCCACAGCTTCCGTCCAATTCTCAGAAGGATCACAGACCCACATTAGTCACAGGGGTTCATGATCAGAAACACCCTGGTAGAGAATATATGACTTCAGTTCCAAGGTAGGAATCGCTTTGATTAACTCAGAGGCTGATAGCCAATGCCCGTCCAGGTGTGGGTAAATCTCATTCAGAGCAGAAAGTCTGGGAAATCAGATTTATACAGCCTTAATGCCACATCTCCCTCCTCCACTTTCTCTTCCTTTATGATAAATTCAGCATTTGAGCCGTTAGCCACTGAATATTAGAGGAAATTACTTGGCCCTAAAGAATGGATTCCCTAACCTTGTGGTCTCAGAAATGTCAGGCCTATTCCTCATTCCAGTTCATTGACTCTATGCAAGTTAGTTATTTTCCCACCAAGACTTTCTGGGGGAGGCAGGAGCCAAAGCACAGTCCGTGATCCAGCATATTTGTAAACCATTTCAGAACTGGGGACATTGCTGATTCTCAAAATGGAGGTGACCAATAAAATGACTGCTGTCTAAAATCTGTGATGAAAACAATCACTTTCCTTAAAGGATCAGCAGAGGGGAACTGGATCCGCTCAGCAGCTGACACTGTGTGAGACACCGCATACTCCTAGTCACACCGCAGCCCGGTGAGGTGGGCAAGAAGTATGTCATTGCGACTCACCGTCAGACTTGCCAAGGACACACTTCTGCTTGTCGACCCTGTCTGCGGTTCTTCCTCCCGTGTGGGTGCCAGCAAACCTTAAGACCAGAAGAAATGGAGCAGAAGCAGAAGCAAAGGAGCAAGGTAGAAGGGGAGATATCGTGGGGAGATTGCAAGGCAAACTGTAAAAAAGGAAGAGAGGACAAGGCAGGGTCAAATGAGAAAGATAAAATGAAGGAAGGAAGTGAACCCCACAACCTCTGAGAAATCATTTCCCCGCCCATCTCCAGTCTTCTCAGGAAAGGGGAAGAGGGAGAGGGGGCAGCATTGAGCTCTTCAGAAGGTAAGTGAGTGGGGCTGAAAGACCTGCAATCATCTCAAAGCAGTCTAGAAGGAGGCACCTCAATGAGATAAGCCTCACTGCGAAGTGGGGAGAAAGGAGGCTTTGTTAAGGCCATTCCACCCTCTCTCTCTGGTCTGCTGCACACTCTCCCAAGCCTTCCCCCTGACTGTGCTCAGGACCATGAACCCCAAAGCATCCCAGGCCCTAAGACTTATTACCCAACTCCCTGAATTAATCTCCCTAGAGGTAGGCTGGTCTAAGAATCTGAGTTAAGAATAGAAGGAGATATCAAATGATGATTTGAAGTTGTCTCCCTTCTAAAATATGTGTGATTTGAAAGAGGGTCCCATAGCGCTGGGGTGATGAGGGAAGGTATGAATGAAAATGCCCACATGGGTTACTGTCAGATTAATAATCCATTTCTGTCCAAGGTGAACAGGTCCCAAGTACGAAGTACCCGCAGATGAATAGAAAAGTAAGAAAAAAGAAAACAAGAAAGGCATAATTCTGGGATGAGGGGGCTAGCAGCCTCTAGGACTGAAACCCCATTAACATTTTCAACAAACTTTTATTGTGCAAGAACAAAGGAGGCAGCAGAGGAATGGGAGTATATCAACTGTTTTAGCAAGGACAATACAACTCAATTATCATAAGAATGAGACTTGACTAGTCAGCCATCATGTCATCATTCCTTGGGACATACCTCAGGAAAGCATCTAGTGTTGCCGCTGGGGCTTTCAATGTTTTTGCTAGACTTCCTCCAGAACCCAACAATCATGGCTTGGTCGGGCCTGAGGCAATACATTGTAAGAGTAACTGAAGAATGTCCTTCTCCACAGGTTATCCTCATTTTGCCTGGTCATGCTATAAATACACACCAGTGCCCACTCTATGCTAGGTGGGTGTCCGTGTGAATGCCAAGGTTACAGGTCTGGCCCCTGTCTTCTGGAATGTGGTTCCATGCTCCAGCTGTCGCCAGATACTTTGGTTCATACTCTCAGCTTTGTTTGCTGGCTTCAGACCAAATCAAAAAGGGCCATTTATTTTCCTTAAAAGGGAGAAAGAGAGGGAGAAAGAGAAAGAGAGAAAGAAAGAAAGAAAAAAAAAGGGAGAAAGAGAGGGAGAAAGAGAAAGAAAGAAAAAAGGGAGAAGGAGAGAAAAAGAAAAAAAGAGAAAGAAAGGGAGAAAGAGAAAGAAAGAAAGAAAAAAAAGGAAGAAAGAGAGAAAAAGAAAAAAAGAAAGAGAAAGAAAGGGAGAAAGAAAGAGAAAAAAGGAAAGAACAAAGAAAGAAAGAGCGGGAGAAAGAGAGAGAGAGAGAAAGAAAGAAAGAAGAAAGAAAAGGGAAACAGATTTATTCAAAGCCAGCTCTGAGGAGATGGAGCCCATTTGCCTCCAATCACCATCTCGGAAAGGAAGCTATGTCTCAGCTAGAGGAGGTTTGGAGAAGTTATTTATCTATAAAATTTAAAAAAAAAAACCCTAACTTTTAAAGTTCTACTTTGCAGTGCCAATTTCACAGCTACTTTTTCTTTCCTGTCTCCTGGCTTTGGACTTCCATTCTCCTCTTTCTGAAATACTCTTTCCCCGTTTCTAGTAGGCTGGCTCACCATTCTTCCAAAGCAGCTCAAGCTTTAGCTTTTATAGACATCCTTCCAGAATCACCTCTATTGCTCTAGGCTCACTGTTTCCAGTTTCCCTTGAAATCTTGCTCTTATTACTTCATAAAAGGTGTGTGTGGCTCTTAGGGGAAACCAAACTGCTATACAAAGTTTCTAATTAAAAAGAGTACATGAATATTATGAAAAATTCACCAAAGAAAAAATGAAAAATAGAAAGTTAAAAGTAAACCATCTGGTCCAGAAAAAAAGCACTGTTAGCTTTCCGGTATAGAGTATTCCTCCTCGTGTGCTTTTCTATACTTATACACATAGATTTGAATAACTGGGATCCTATGGCATATGTATTTGATTTTTTTTTGGCATATGTATTTTAAATGCGTTTTTTTTGTTATTTACATAATGAGCAGAGTTCTGTGATGTTAAACTTTCTTTGAAAACAAGACATTGAATGGAAGGCTAATATTTGCTAGCACTCATACAGTAAACTTCAGCATTCCTTTTCACTGGACATGTAGATTGTGTCTCACTTGTAGTTGCATTGTGAATTTCCAGAGGCCCTCAAGTGCTGACTTTCTGAGCAGCTGGAATGGAGAATGCTCAAGGTGGGGTAAATGAGAAGTGAAGGAGTTTCAGGCCCTTTTTTTTTTTCTAGGACTGGATTTTGAATCCAGAGCCTTCATTAAGTTACATCCCCAACCCTGTTTGTAAACTGTTTTTTTTTTTTTTCCTCACCACATTGTTTAATATTATATATCAGTAGTAGAGATTAATGTGTTCACTATGGGAGATTTTTGTGTGCACAAAACACCAGCCCTGTCCCTACCCCTATAGTCCCTAGCCTTTTCTTAGTTTTAAGACAGGGTCTCATTAAATCATTTATTTGCTCAGCCTGGGTTCAAACTTATGATCCCCCTGCCTCAGCCTCCTAGAGTGCTGGGATTACAGGTGTGCACTACCAGCCCTGGCTCAGGTTAGAGGTTCTTTTAGAGAGACGGGCAGGCTGAATGAAGGACAAAGCCTGAGGGAAGGAAAAACAAATCTGCCAGTGCTAGAGGTTGCCTAGAGGCATTGAGCCAGGATCTGTGTAAGCAGCCCACTGGGGACCTATGTTTGGACCCTGCGGATATATTGAGTTATGTGTCAGCAGCTTGGAGAAGGCTGTTTTGATCTGTATGAAACGTATGGTCTGCTGGAGATGTAGCTCAATGGCACAGTGCCTGCTTGGCAAGCGCAAGGTCCTGAGTTTGATTCCTGGTACCAAAAAAAAGGCGGGGGGGGGGGTCTGTCTGATTGTACAGATTCTACCTTCTCTACCATCTTAAGAAAATAATACCCACAGGATTTATTTTGGACCAACAAAACATGTCACTTTAAAAAAATATATCACTGCTTTCAGTCTGTCTATACCCAAGAAAGAAATGGGAAACATATCTCTTCCTTGCAGGTTGTCATGAGAAATAAAAAGAATCCCATATAATTCTAAAAGGTCTTCATAGGTGTGGTGAGTTGATGTCCATGTGATGTGGTTAAAAGAATGGAATTCAAACTTAATCCAAGGGTGCTTTCTCCTGCCCCCAAGGCAGCAGCAGCCACTGGCACACTGAACACCCACTCTGAGGGTTTTAGGCCTCTGAACAGATGCAAGACAAGTGTGGGTGAAGTAACAGGTAAAGGACCAGGATGCTCCCTCACCCTTGCAGTGGGTAAAGCAGTTGGCAAAATCCTGGTTAAGTCCCTGGAGGAGGGCTGTGAAGACCCCAGAAGTGAAGACGTACAAATCAGCAAGTCTTACATGAATTAAAATCTGGTCTTCTCCAAGTGTCTGATGTGGTGGGTGCTCTACTGTCTGCCTGCCTTACACAAGGTGATAATAATGACAGCTTTTCTCTACTAAGTCAGGTACTTGCCTGGACTTTTTATCTACATTATCTCACTTCACTTCCAACATCCCCATGAGGTCACCTATAAACACCATTTACATTTTACAGCAGGGGAAACAGAGATTCAAGGATGTCAAGTAGCTTGTGCAAAGACACTCAGCTGATTAGGGGCAGGATCAAAATTCAAGCATACATCTGTTTCATACTAAAGCTGGCATGCCTAACTACCGTGTGCAAAGCCTCAGGGGCTGCCAAGGGCCTGGGCATCAAGGAGTCTGTAGTATGCCTCCAGAAAGGGTGAACACACAGGAAACAATACGGTAGAGTCAAACCAGCCCAAAATTAGAGATGTGGAGAAGATGGAGCTCTGAGTAGCATAAAAATGTTCAAGGAGGACTTTGGTACTGAGCTGAGAATAGAAGAGGTTAAGTAGGGGCTATAAATCTCACAGATTTAGAAGTGCAGAAGAGTTATAGAAGGCCAACTCATTCCAATAAATTCTGCCCAAAACAATGGGAGCAAAGATAGGAACGCAGTCTCTCCCAAATAGGATGCCCCCTCCAGGCTTCAGAGTTGAGAACTCTGGTGGTGAACTCTGGTGGTGAACCTATGGCACACATGTAATTTGTTTTTCTCTTAAGACAAAAGTTGTTATTGTGTGAGTTGTTTCTTCTAAACTGAAGCCTCAGCATTCAGGTTTAATCGCAGTGTTGGCACCTTGTAGTAAATAAGTGCAATAAATTATGTATGGGCACTCGTCTCTAAAAGGTTCACCTTCTCTTAGAGGATAAGCATAAGAGAAACATAAGGGCACTGCTGTTGCTATCCAGACTCCTATTGGTTCCAGTAGGGGGCAGTATAATACCTCAGGTCCTTGAGTAAGCTTCAGCTTTGGAGGCCATTTCCACAGAGACTAAACAACAAAGGGACCCAGGACAGTATCCCTAAGGTAACCTACCATTTCAAAGGATATCAGAAGAAATGAATCCAGAAGAGGAAAAAGAAATGGTTTGGTTGGATAGAAGGAAATCTAAGAGAAATTGGTGTTTCAAAAAACAAAAGAAAGTATTTCAAAACTGTACCTAGACTAGCAAAAATTTGTCCATAGCATTTAACTATTGTGTGGTTTTTAGCAATTCTGACCCAAATGAGAGCCATTTTAGAAGGGATGGAAGTGAGATTCTCTTTTCCTCTTCTCTTCTTTCTCCTTCCTACCTCCCTTTCATTCAAGCTGTTGAGGGCCAGGGATATAGCTCAGCAACACAAACACCTGCCTGGCAAGTGCAAGGAAGGTCCTGCATTTGATTCCAGGTACCAAAACAAAACAAAACTGTTGAATATTTCTTCAGCTGCATCTGGAGATGTAGCAATGAAAGCCACAATCCTGCTGTCGTGCAACTCATGGAGGAAACAGAGAAGTTAGTTGCCACAGAGAAGTGACTGTGAAATGAGGATCTTGGGTCACAGAGAAAGGACGTCTAATCCAAACTGATCACAGCAGGCTCTTGGGAGATAAGCAGATACATATGGATCCTTGATAAAAAGGAAAATGCATTATATAGGATGAATATGTGTAAAATCTGAGAAGTAAAAGAACTTTGCTAGTTCCAGAAAATGAGGATATTTTAGTGCGACTGAAATAAATGTCATATAAGAAAACCAGGGTCAGACTGCTAAGGGTTCAATGCACATGAATAACAACCTAGACTTGATTCTGAAGGCTTGTAAACTTAGAAGTTAGAAATAGCACACTGATGAAAAGTAGAAAGAGAATAGAAGCAACGTGACATAAGGCTACTGAAAGAAAGCCTGCTAAGCTATAACAAAGGACTTCACGAGGCAGGGGTGATGTATGAAGGGTCAGGGTCAGAATGAGCAAAGCTTGATACCTGGTTGTATGAGAGGGTAGAGTGACCAGGAAAAAGAGTCTGGTTTCTGGCTTTGGTGATCACATCAGTTGAAAAAATAAAGACCACAAAAGGACATGGAAGATGATAAACTCCATTTTGGGTGTGTTACATTTAATACATCTAAGATGCGGATGAACGTGTCTGAGGTTCAAGGGAAACATCTGAACTATGTACCAGATATTTGAATAACTGGCATACAAATTAGGGTTGAAGGCATGCTGACACCAGCTGGCTGAGGAACAATTTGGACAGAAGTCACAAATATGCTAAGTGTAGCTCTTTATGGTTAACAGCTCCAAGCTCTAAATGTTAAGGGTTATTGGCTTTTAAGGTTAGTAATCCCCCAGCACTATACTGGCAGCTAACATCAGCAACTACCAGCTGCGCTTGGGGACTTTTGCTGGTGACCAGAGATGACAGCTGCCAGCAATTATCCATTGCTCTCCAGCAATGGAGATGGTAGTCACCCTTTGTGTCACCAGTCCTGGCTGCTGGCCACTTTCAGCATTAGAAGCCAAATGTTAGCATTGTCAGCTTAGCCTACTCTTATGGAGATAGCAATCATGAGTAGGCAAAAGTATGGCACCTTGCAGAGGCTTTATTAGGACTTATGCTGCAGCGGAGGGGGAAAATACATTCACTGACCCACTAAAGGAATAGGAGAAGTTGCTTTGTCCTATATAAAGGAAAAAAGCAGAGCTCACGCACACATGCAATTTCAGAATTTCTGTTTTGTCCTGAATAAGAGGAAGTGCTCTTTGAGGACCTCGCTACGCATAGCTGCAGGGTGACTGAGTCATTCAGAGAAAATCTAGGGCAGAGTCTCCTGGGATGGACTCATGACCAAAGCTTGCTGCAACCAAAGCAAATGTTTCCCAGCAAGGCCTTAGGGTATCTGACATGGTTGTGGCCAGCTGCGGGATATTTGGAGCTGTCACAGAGAAAAGAAAGAAAAAATTATTTAAAACACCTCTTGGAGAGTGTTGGACCCTTCTCTTCCATCTCAATGCCATCTGTGTACATGTTCTAGAGAGGTATCATTTAGAAAGAACATGTGAAGTGAAAGGGGTTTAGGAGGGAAATCCCCTGGTAAAAACAACTTTTGAGCGAGCAAAGGAAGGGTCACATGCAAATGAAACTGACAAAGACTTCCTTGAAAAGTGGGAAGAAAATTAGAGCACTTGGAAAGAAGTCAAGAGGAAATAAAAGACCTTGAAGAATAGAGATGCTAACAATACCAAATGTTGCCGAAAGGACATATGCAAAGGCCATGATGCTGTGTCCATTGCAAACTATGCAGTTAATTTATAGGACAAGAATAAGAAAATACGTAAGAAATGTATGAAAAAATGTTCATTCATACTAGAAATCAGGGAAACGCAAATTAAACAAAAATGATTATATTGTCTATCAAATTGGAAAAAATAGTTTATTTGATAGATTCCAATGATAACAAAAAGATGGAAACCAAACACTTGTGCTATTAATGCGAGTATAAATTGATGCAGTCATCTTGGAGGGAAATTTAGTGTTCCTTATAAAAATTTGTAACTGTATGACACCTTTGATACTGTTTTACTTATAAAAATCTGTATATTGTGTATCAGAGTTACTACAAGAACAGATTTAATGTATGACATATGTATATCTATATCTCTCTCTCTGTAGATATATCTTTACAAGGCAGGCTTGCAATGGCTGCCTGCAGAGTCAAGGGTAGAAGAACGGGCCATCTGCAGGCTGCAGAGTTGAAGGAGGCAGTTGAAAGTGGAAGCTCTGGAGCTCACTGCAGAGTTTTGTGGTCTACACCAGGAAGCTGGACAGTCTGTACTGGAAGCCTGCAGATGTATGTTCAAATGCAATGGTGAAGGCTGGAGCTCTTCCCAAGAAACAGAGGCAAGACTTCCTTCTTTTTTCCCTTTTTATTGCATCTGGGCTGCAAGCCTGTTGGCTGGTGCCACCCACACCTAGGGTGAGTCTTCTGTTTTTAGTAAGTCAATCATTTACACACCCAGAAATGTACTAAACTAATCTGCTAAACATTTCTTATTCAAGTTGACACCACAGTTAATTATCACCTACAGTACTGATATAATTGTACAAGGATGACTTGTACTATTAGGATACTCTTGAAAAAATATAATGATGTATACATAATAGTCAATACAATATGACTTATAATGAAAGGAGTTGGAAATAACTCACATATACCAATCCATAGAAATTTGGATGAATAAATTAGGGTATAAACATACTGTGGAGGAATATGGAGCTGTGGTAATAGATAGAACAGAATATTGATTTTTGATATATTTTAGATTCCTTTTAGAATTTTAAAAGAACTTTTGACTCCTCTTAAAGGGATATTTGTAATAGACTGCTAAGGAAAAACTGTAGATAAATACATGTGGTGGACTCCTATTTTTGCTAAAATTGTGATGTGGTGAAGGTTCTATTTATTATGGCTACATATGCACATAAATAGATCTGAAAGAATTGATATGAAATTAGAAAATAGGGGCTGAAGAATTTGAATGGAGCTCTTTTAAATTAAATTAAACTTAATTTAATACTACTTTTTGTGGATCAAACCCAGGGGTGCTCTACCACTGACCAATACCACCAGCTCATTTTTTATTTTTCAGTTTTGAGATAAAATCTTGCTATGTTGCCAAATTGTCCAGACTGGCATCAAACTTATGATTCTCCTGTTTCAGGCTCCTAAATAGCTGGGATTGCAGGCATGCAACACTGCATAGGCTTGAGTAAAGCTTTTAACTTTTATTCTTACTTGTTTTGTTTTGTTTTGTTTGAGACAGAGTCTCACTATGTAGCTCAGGCTTGCTTTGAACTCACTGTGTATTCCAGGCTGGCCTCAAACTTATAGTGACCCTCCTGCTTCAGCCTCTGAGTGCTGGGATTAAGGTGTGTTCCACAACACCCAACTCTTATTTGATTTTTTATAAGAAGCATGCATTCCTATCTATTACTGTATATTCAGAAGGAACCAAATTTCCATTGGAGTTAATAAGTTCTCAATTTTGAATAAATTATGGGAGAAACATCAGTTTGCATTGGGTTAAAAAATAAGAAATGAGGCAGAACAAACGTCATATTTTTAACAAATATGGCAAACAGTTTGAAGAAGAGGAAAGAGCAACTTCTGGGCTGGACTGGGCTAGTCAAAGCCAGCAAGTATTTATGCGGGGATACCACTGTGGGATGCCCAAAGTGAAAACCACGACAGATCAGAGAAAAAGACCACAGCTTACCTAGTAAACCCCTTAACACAAAGCTAGAAACCAAGCCCAAAATGCTTCCTAAAAGAAATGAGAGAAGATATACCCCCAAAAGGATGGGGGTGGGGAGAGAAAGCTGATGCATGAAATGGCACTGTTAAAAATAAGTAGATTCCAAACAGTCTGACCAGATACTGGAGGTTGAAGGTGCTAGAGATGTTACATGAGGTATACAGTTTTGATGGGTGATATTTTATAACTGAGTTATTTGAAATTCTATTGTTTCTTTAAGTTGATTGGCTTTCTCTGAAATCTATGTTAGAAAACTTCATTTATGTTTTGGCAGAAAGGGGAAAATATCACTGTGATGGTTCAACTTCATTGAGAACTTGATTGGTGTGATGGATTGACAACTGGTGGTGAATTTGTAACACCCAGCTAAACTGAATAAGTGTGTTGCTGGGTGTGGAAGGCCCACCTGAGGACTGTTGCCAATAACATTAAAAAGGAGAACTGGAGAAGAAGAAAGGGGGCTCTTGGTTCTCCTGGAGGAGCTTGTCATGCTGGCTTTCCTGATATGAACTTGGTTGTTCTCACTGTTGAAGGAGCTTGGGACCTTGTTGTCACTGAGAATGGCTGCAGTTCACTTTGTGGGAGCTCTGGTCCTTACTTTGAGCATTGCTTCCTGGCTCTGGAGGGGAAAATGGTGTGCTGTTCAATTTCCAGGAGAAGTTTGTCATGCTGGCTTTCCTGATATGAACTCAGCTGTTATCATCAGAGGAGCTCGGGACCTCTTTGTCCCTGAGGATTGCTAAGGTACTTTTGGTGGGGGAGCTCTGGTCCCTACTTTGAGTGTTGCTTCCTGGCTCTAGTACAGATCCCTCAGCCTACTGGCACAGATCCTTCATCCCACTGGCACAGACTTTCTAGTTTCCACCACTGACCTTTGGGCCTTCACAGCACAGATCCGTGAAACAGACTTGCATGAAACACTGTTGTGGGCTATAGGCCTCCAGCTGGATGGATAAAGGGCATTGTCATGGGCTCTAGGTCTTCAGCTGGACTCATGCAGGACATTGCTGTGGGATCTAGGCTCTCAGTTGGATTCTTTGGGTCTTTAGTATGTGGACAGATTTCCTGCACTCTTTTGGACTTGACTCTGGGTTACTACTATAAAATAATCCTATAAATTATGTGTCCTGTATCAAATTGTTTCCGTTGAAAACCCTGACTATAATAACTTTGGTACCAGAGAAGTGGGGTTGTTGCTGTGACTGTACCTGACCATGTGGTTCAAGAGCCTTTACGAATGGCTTGTGGGAAGAGTTTGGAAAGGTTTGGAGATGTTGCCTGAAAGAGTACAGAGCTGGAACACATTAGGCTGTTCTGTATGGGGGTTCTGGTCAGAGCTTAGAAGACCAGAAGGCTGATACAAATCTGCCAGTAAAGTCCAGGCGTGGGAGGTTTCTGCTGGGAAGAAGAACTGTATTGGTTGTTGGACTCCAGATGATGTGTTATGGCTTGGCAGAAAGTTTGTCTGCATTTTGCTCATGTCCAGAGACATTGCCTGAGACTGAGATTAAGGGTATCACACTAATTAATCTGATAGAAGAAATTTCAAGGCAGTCAAATGTTGAGGCAGTGGCATGGCTATTGTTGGGGGCTTTTAGCTAGATGTATGTTGTGAATCAAGAGCAAAGAGCCCAGCAGGATGATTTAAAACATTGTGAATTTGGCCAGAAAAAAGCTCCAGTAAAGCTGTGGACTGCAAAGATAGAACTGAGGAGATCTCAACTGCTGAGAAAGAATACGAGAATATAAAAGATGGCCTGGGGGAAGCACAAGAAGCAGCAAGTCTCTACCCTTTGCAGCCTCCAAACTGCAAAAGTGAAAGACTGCTTTGAGGAGAAAGCTGCAGAGCACCATGTGCCAGAATGATGGCAACATAGAGACTTTATTCCTTAGAACTTGATTCAAAGTGTTCAGCAATCCAGGTACTCAACCCCTACAACCAAGAGAAAGGGAAGCTGTTGCTCTAGCTGGCAGCAAACCTTGGCAGCATCTACATGGTGTTGGTTTTAGATGCATGGAAGATACAAGAGTTGGTCAGGAAGGCTTCCACCCTGATTTCAGAAGGCCTGAGTGGCCAGGCAGTGTGCTCCTGAGAGGGCAGTATGTGAAGCTGTGAATGAGAAGCCAAAGGTGCAGTGGAGACTCCAGAAGTTTGAAAAAGCCAGGAATGTAGTTCATCTATGGAAAGTTGCAAGGAGTGAGCAAAGCAGGCTTAAGAGAAAAGCCATGGGAGCTACAACCCACTGGAAGTGCCATAGAGGTGGAACCATGCAAGGACTTTGGAGCTCACAACTTACCACAGATTGCTTTGGGTGTCCCACATGGAACTACAGGATTTAATATTTGCCCTGTGGATTTTAAACTTGCTTTGGTCCCAGTGCTTTGTATCCCCCTGTTTGTACCTTTTGGAATGGTAGTGTTTATCTTGTACCATTGAATGTTGGAAATGTTTAACTTTTCATTTGTACAGGGACTCTAAGCTAAGAGTTTGCCTTAGATCTTGGAGAAGACTTAGGACTTGGATTTTTCAACAGTGCTGAAACTGTTACGACTTTGGTAACTCTTACAGGTGGACTAAAATGCCTTTTGCATAAAGGGGTGTTCATTAATCTCTGGGGGCCCAGGGGAGGAATGTTATGGTTTGTGCTGAGATAGATGTCCCCGCAAAACCTCATGCAGTCATGGGCACAGGCATCTAGATTTTGTGATTGGTTCATTGTCTAGTACTGGGATTATGGGTGTGAGTGCTATACCCACCAAGGGTGGGTAGCTTACATACAATATAAGGGACAGAAAGAGTCTTCTCTTTCACTATTCCCTTTTTGCTCTTGTTGCTTTTGCTGTTTTCTGCCATCATGAACTGTTGCTCCTCTGTCATACCACCCTGCCTTGGAGCCAGCTGATTATGGACTGAACTCTCCACAAACTGTGAGCCAAATAAATCTTTCCTCTCTAATTTTGATATTGGGTATTTTGTTTCAGCAAGGAAAAAGTAACCAACACATTTGCCTTGAGAGATGCCTAGGAGATTAGTAATGGTCACTTCTGGGTCTGTGCAGATGAGTCATGGGAATCTTGGGGATTGGCTCCTTGCTCTCTGCCTCTTTCCCTCTCCTCTGCTTCCTGGCTCCCATAAGGAGCAGGAAGGTTTTCTCTGCCAGGCCTGTCTGCCATGCTGTTTCTGCCTTGGAGCCAGCCAACCATTGACTGAAACTTCTGAAACCATGACTCAAAATAAACCTTTTGTCCTCTAATTGCAGATGTTAAGTATTTTGACTCAGAAATAGAAAAGTGACTAATTCAGACACTACTAGAATGTCTAAAAAATGGATGGAAAAGAAAAACTTTCCCTTCCAGTTCTTTAAAAGAATTCTTGATCCTCAAGAGGAGGAATTCTTTGCTGTTAACACCTATTAGCCACTCTGAACAAACATCTTACTGTGTAGGGGAATTCTTATATTTTTTAAATTGAAGGGCTATCCTTGATTCTTTTAAAATTTTATTTATTTATTTGTTTATTTATTCATTTTGAGACAAGTTCTTGCTAAGTAACCAAGTTGCCCAAGCGAGGTTTAAACTTGTGATCCTTCTGTCTCGGCCCCCACAGAGTGAAGTCACTTAAACTATTCATTTTTCTTCATTTATTTTTTCTGCTTCTCAGACTGTATAATCTCAATTGGCCTATCTTCCGGGTTAATTTTTTTCTGTCTGCTCAAATCTACTGTTGAACCTTGTGGAGAATTTTTCATTGTTATTGTCTTATATTTTTAAATTTTTAGTCCCCTTCTCCTCCACTCCCTCTCACTCCCTCCATCTCTTTGCCCTCTTTAATTTTATTTAAATATCCTTTTCCCTCTTGAACCCAGATGTGCCCTGCTGAATCAAGTGTATTGAACACCAGAAAAAGGCAAACTAGACCTTTCCAGTAATAATATTGAAATGGCAGCACTCAAACTGTGGTTCTCTTTTCAGATTTTGAAGATTGAGAATTCTGTAGCTTCTGTTTTATCTCATCAAAATTCAGTTTAGTTTATGAAATGTAATAAACAAATGAAAATATCAAGCCTCACTTTAGGGTTTCTCAAACTGAGTATTATTGATATTTCATGCTGGATAACTCTTAATTTTTTGCTGTGAATTGATATCTTGTGCATTGGAGAATGTTAGTCTCCACTCATCAAGTGCCAGTGGCATATTCCTGGTCCCAGGTATAACAAAATCTCTCCAGACATTGTCAAAATGTCCCCTAGGAGAGAGGACAGAATTACTCTCAGTTGAGGACCTGTCTTAGTTACTTTTCTCCCATTGCTGAGACGAAATACTTGACACCCAGAATTAAGGAAGGAAAGGTTTATTTAGCTCACAGTTTGTGGAGGTTTTAGTCCACACTTGGCTGGCTCCAAGGCAGGGTGGCATATGGCAGACAGCAACAGTTCATGGTGGCAGAAAGCAGCAAAAGAAACAAGAGCAAAAAGGTAGAAGCAGCCTCTTTCCCTCCCTTACACTGTATGCAAACTACCTGTCCCGGGGCAGTTGTAGCACTCGCACCCATAATCCCAGCATCAGACCATGAATTAGTCATAAACTCTAGAAGCCCACCCCACGACTGCATGAGGCTTTCGGGGAACATCCAGACACAAACCATAACAGGACCCTTGCACTATAGTTCCCTGTGCAGAGCATCAGATAAAGACGTCACTGGGTTTTTGGTAGTTCATGGAAGGAGGCACTCCACATTTGTTATTTACTGTTACTCATGATATGCTTCTGTGTTGCTTAAAATACCATGGCTAAGTATATTTAGTAAAACTGGGTATGTTCAAAACATTGGTGATTAAGGTAAGGATAAGGAAGCCATGGGAAAGTTGAAAGAAGTGGGAGCTTTATCACAGACCCCTGGAGTGATTGTGAGTATTGCTAAATTGGAGGTCCTGAATGAATGTATGGACCAGAGAACAGTCAACAGAGAAGAATAATGAAAATAATGAAAACAGAAGGATAGTTGGTGGGGCCCATTTCTTAAAGAGATAGAAGCAGTGGTCTCCATAACATGAATGGATGACAAAGTGGATACCTCTCCACTAAGAATGTATGCCAGTTTGAGTAGGACACACCTAACATTACCTTGGCCCAAGGAAGGAGGCTGAGGTGACCCACCAGAAAATGCAGTACAGCCAGTACAATAAGGGGCCTGCCCACATTGTAAGAGGTAGAACACTAGGAGAGAGAGCTAAGCAGGAAAGTGGTACCAAGTGTGTATTGGGCCAAACTAAAGTGGAGCACATGCATCTGTCCAGAATATAGTCCTGATAGTGATGTGAATTCCCCAAAAGGATATAGTGTCCTG